GGAAGTTAGGGAGGCCAGGACGGCCGCAGGTGGGAGGGGACCTCTCCAGGGTGCCACCGGCCCTGGAAGCCCCTCCGCCGAAGAAAGGGAGTGGATCCAGCCAGGGCACTCCAGAAGGGCGGAAGCACCCTTTTCCCCCGCACCCGTGGGAAGAACCCCCAGAGAGACCCAGAGGTGGGGATCCGCCCAGCAAGGGGCGTTCCAAGGGCGGGCAGAACCGTCAGGGCAAGCAGCAAGCCCAGGGCCAGACGACCAGTGGGTCGGACAAAGGACACACGGAAACTTCAGGGGGGACAAGCCCCACCTTCCCCTGGATGCAAGACACCCCGGAAAGACTGAGGTCCAGACTAAGGTGGACGCCACGACCGGTGCCGGAGTCGTCGAAGCCCTGTACGCTGGGAAGGACGACGCGGGGGCCCTGGATGCCTACCTCCATGCCTACAACCCGGCCTTCTCGGAGTACATTTGGGCAGTGGACATTAGGCGAAAGGGTGGCGATCTTGGACATGACATGCTGGGAGACGAGCCATACTCTACAATGTGCTCCATGGCCATGGCGGGCAAGGTCGCCTTTGTGGGGGGCGGCCCCAACTGCAGAACGTGGAGCATTCTCAGATGGTTCCCCAAACCGGGAGGCTTGCCGCCGGTGAGGGGCAGGGCGGAGCAGACCCTGTAGGGCTTGGAGGACCTGGAGCCCCGGGTAAGGGAGGACACGGACAACGACAGCGTGCTCATGCTCCGACAGATGTACCTGACCTCGCTGGATAGCAAGGACTAGGTCAACGAACGGTCCCGCAGGTGGGCTCCTCCTTCCTGGAGCACCCGATGGACCCAATGGAGTGCAGCAAGAGCCCGAGCGCAGCGAGGTGCTCATCGATCTGGGTCACACGGGCCTATATTCAATGGGCTAACGCACTCCACCACTCCCTCATCAAGTTTGACGAGTGCCGCCTGGGCCAGGTGGTAGTGAAGTCCACGACATTGTCCTTCCCCTTCACCATTGGCATGATCTGCGATGCAACCACGGAGCTCACCCGAGGGGGGAAAAGCTCAACTCCAGTGACCTCAGCCGGTACTCAGAGCAGATGATGCAGGGTCTCGCAGCGACCATCCTCTCCAGAGCGGGACCCGTCCTGGAGGCGCTGAGGCCGGGGGGCACGGTGCCCCAAGTGAACCCAACGACCCTTCCGAGGCGGCAGAGGGAACCATCTCCCCACACGCCGGGGGACAACAAGCACCAGTCCCTGAGGCTGAAGGCCGGCCAACAAGCGTTGGCGGGACTAACCTTGGGCTCACGTCCGGTCTCGGCCTCAGACAATCCTGAGGTCCGGACACCAACACAGCCGGCGGGCAGGGAGGTCGAACTACGGGGTGAAACTCTTCCCCTTCAGCCATGGGCACGCCATTGCATGGAGATCTCGGATCGGCCCACCACCCTGCCGATCACGCACGACCCAAATCTCTCCGACAAGGTTATGTATCTCCAGATGGCCTTCAAACAGCGCCCCCTCAGGGACGGGGGTGGGAAGCCCTCACTTGGACGGCTGGCCCCGTGGACTCGGCTGGGGGCCAAGATCTGTGTCCTCACGTCGCCACGGGGGGACAAACTCCAGGAGTCGCTCTCGTTGGGGGACGGGTCACACCCCTTCCCGGAGGACCTGCTGGAAGATATCAGGGAGATCCTGGCGCCAGACCAGCGGAAGGCCAACCCTTCTTCCTGGACATCTTGCACAGCCTGGCGATGAACATTCAGGACCCCGACCACCAGTTTCCTCGGGATCTGGAACAAGGGGTCCCACTGGGGGTCACGGACCCACCCCTGGAGTTCCACCCATGGGCATGGTAGATGGCCCTCTCACCAAGCTAGAGGCAGCAGCGCGCTGTGGCTGCAATATGGAGGATCTTTGCCCAGGCCCCCTAGCGGGCATCGACGAAGGGGCACCATCTACGATGGCTCGGTGGGCGGGGCCAATGACACCATCAGGAACCAGACGGTGGAAAGGACGACGGCTCCGACGGTGCTGGATGGGGTACAAGCTCTTCATTGGCTACATGCGGCAGCTGAGGAGGGACCTCCCTCTCAGGGTGCCCCCGGCCCCGAGAGGGAGGTCGCTAAACCTCCACCCGAGGGCTGGCAATGGCCGGAGCCGGGCACCAGGTGGGTGCTGCTCAAGGCGGACGTCACCAAGGCCCACCGGAGAGTGAAGGTCCTCAGGAAGGACTGGCGGTTCCAGGTGGCCTCACTGGGGGAAGAATGGTGGGTGAACAAGGTAGGCACATACGGCATGGCCAGTGCCCAATCCTACTGGGGACGCCTGGCAGCCCTTCTACTCAGGGTCCTCTACGCACTTTTCCCTCAAGTGGATTGGAACTTCGTCTTTGTGGATGACTTCCTGTGGCTGCTTCGCAGCAAGGGGGCAGTGAACTTGGCGGTGGCGCTGTTGGCAACACTCCTGGCCTTGGGCACCCCGCTTAGCTGGAAGAAGACACATTTGGCGGAGGTCAACACGTGGCTGGGCTTCGTGGTCCACCCGAACATCCCGCAGGTTCTCATGGCCGCCAACAAACACATCCTGGTGATGGAGGTCTTGCAGATCATGGTGGAAGGGCAGGCGATGCACTCAAAGGACATCGAGAAGGCCCTGGGCCGCATCCAATGGGCAACTGCTGCATGTCCGCTGGCGAAGTCGATGCTTCAGCCACTGTGGGCCTGGAAAATGGCCACCACCACGGTGGGGAAACCCCCTAAGGTGGTCAGGATGCTGGCGTTCATGCTGCGGTTCCTCTTCAACACGCCCTTCGTCCAGTACTCCCCTTACTTGCCGAAGTCCTCTTGGTGGGGTTGCAGCGATGCTAGCGCCTCGGATGAAGGACTGGCATTTGTGGGAGGCTGGTGCTCCAACAAAGTGGAGCCGGAGAAGAAGGAGGTGTACTGGTTCCACGAGCAGATCCACGTGGAGGAGTACCCGTGGGCATTCAAGAATGGGGATCCCAAGCGGAGGATTGCGGCTCTGGAAATGCTGGGCACGCTCTTCCTCTGTAACATGATCCTCACGCACCAAGGCCCTCTGTCCTCCCGGGTCCGACTCCCGGTGGGCAGTGCAGTGACAATCAGGGCAACGTCATGGCGATGCTCAACCTTGGATCCAAGAAGCCCTACACCGCGGCTATCCTGATGGAGCTGGTCTTCCTGCTCCACACCCATGGCTGCTCGCTGGCGGCCAACCACGTGCCCCGGGAATTCAACCAGTGGGCCGATGAGCTGACGCACCCAGATTTCTCGGGGTTCGACCCTTTGCACAGAGTTCCTAAACAGGAACTCTGCGAGGAGTTCATTTTTCTCCCGCGTCTCCTGAATGGAGATGCATTTGATCTTAGCGTGGGCCCACCCATGCTCCCGTGACCGGAGCCGGTGGGTGACTCACTTCCCCTGGTGGCAGACCCCCCTGTGGCCTGGGTGCCCCTGGCCCCGGCCCAGGGGCGGGCGCTATCAGTCTGCACACCCGTTCTTCAGTTTTTGAGAGTTTGTGGTGGGTGGCCCATGGGGCCCACCCAGCCGTAGACATCTGACAGGGGAAGATGAGTCCCTGGCACCAACACATTGCTTGGATAAAAGAGTTATCGCTTGCTTGTGTGGCGCCGTTTGGTTAGCTTACATACACTTCTGCATCTCTCGTCTCTACCTTTGGCCTGGCCAGTGACCCTGGGCAGGCTCTACCCGCAACGTCATCGAGCAGCTATTTGTTGGCGACCGTCATCAGCTTTCCACAAAACAGCTGCTCTGTGTTTCACGCGTGCCTTTGCTGCCCGCGCAGTGCTCAGTATGTGGTCGCTTACTTTCCGGGACCTGACTCAGTCTTGCTGAGTTCCAGGCGACCTCTGCATGTCCATCGTTATGTGGTGTCTCGAGCTTGTGTCCGCTGTTTTTGCTTTTAGCTTTTGTGCTGTTGTGTTGCGTTGTGTTTACTTGCTCAGCATTTTGCTTCAAATTGGGATATGATTTTCACAAAAAGGGTGTTTTGGCCGACAGCACTGAGGCCCTTTGGCTGGCGGCATCATTTGGTTTCATGTCCGCCAACCAAGTCGGAGGCGGTTTTCAACTCTTACAATTCGAATAAGTCACAACCATTTGCCCGTGCGGGGAAACACATGTGTCACTTTGCATGCGATAAGTCATTCCCAAACGAGCATTGCCCCTGTCGAACAGCTTCCAGCTTGTTTCGGTACATTTTGCATTGCGAGGACCGCACCATCTTTTGACGGACTTTCCACATCATATATGCGACCTGAACCCAATTGTGCAAGTGTCATCCTGCCACCACGAATTGCATTCTACCCTGCTTCCGCTCCCTTCTTTCTCAAGTTTGTTTCTTTATTTATTTCGCTCTTTCTTTAATTATTTATTTGATTCGTTGCTTGTTCGTTTGTTTTTTAAAGGGGCACACCTCGTTGGGGTTAGTTCGAAGGGGAAACCATACCCCATGTCAGGAATTTGTTGATTACAGAAGAAGACGAAACTTGCACCAGCCCAAAACCCATCTGTTGGTTCTGCCAAGATCGCTACGATCTGTATCAGCTCTCACGGTAACCATAACCCCTACTGTGCTGAAACAAGGATAATAATATTGTACCAAACGACCATTGAGGTTGATTGACAAATCGACAGTATCTAGATTGGTAGTTGGGGGGCCCGAGGCCCAAATTCCAGCTACCAAAGCGACGGGGCAAACCCTTCAGTTTCTCAATAGGTCGACTCTTCGGGCACACGTTGTGTAAGTTCATGGGAAGCAAAGCCACCTACAATCCTGGAGCATCAAACAGGTTGTTTACACTTCAAGCATCGCTTTTTCCTTTGGTTTTCTGCGTCCAGCGGTTTTTGTTTGACTTCAAACATCGCTTTTCCCTCGGTTTCTTCGTCCAGCGGTTTTCGTTTGGATCTGCATTCCGACCAGTTTCCGGAGTTTTAGCCTACCTGATTGGTGAGCAGATCGGCGGCTCAGGTTCTCTGGGAACTCCATACCTTCTTGAGCGGGTGGCCCAGGTTTTGGGGGGATCGATTAATTAGGAAAAACTGCACCAGGAAGACCCTTGAAAGCGATAACCCATGTTGGTGGATTTGGATGCCCCATTCTGGATCACCCATTTGTGCTCTGGGTCCAACTCCTATGGTGTCAAAAGTGATTTGGACGTGTTGGGTTTTCCAGTTGGCCCCAAAAAAGACCGCCTGAAAAGGGCTTGGAGGCTTCTTCAGATGGTGTTTCAAAGGAGACACCGTTGGAAGGGGGTCCGTGATTTTCAGGAAACGGCGCTTGCCGAGAAAAAGGCAACTTGGGCAAAGCAAGGTAATTCCTAGAAGGAGCCTTTGAAGAAGTCTGTTCCCAAAATGGGATTCCCTTTCACAGGACGTGACGATGAACAGGAGTGGCGCAAGCATTGAGTAGATATTTGTGATGTGGCCATGCTGAGTAACTGAATGCCCTGCGATCTATGTGAGTGTAGAGCAGTGGGACCCTGCTTGGACGAATTGCGCCCGTCCTTGCTTCCCCATGGACACGTGCACCATTTCTAGTTGTTCTCCCCGAAGTGCCACGAAGTTGTGAGGTCAAACTCGCTTTAAGACGGCGCTTTTATTGCTGTGGGCCGCTCGTCCCCGGTTGGGTTGGAAAGGAAGCCAAGGGGAAGCTGCTTCGTTCCCCGGAGGGTGTTTCTGCAAACACAGGGGGCCCTGTTCTTTTTGTTTTGCTGGGGAAAGGGCCAACATAGAGGCGGGTCTGTTGTTTTTTTTTTTTTTTTTTGTTAACATAGAGCACCGATGCTTCAGGGACATGTTGCTGAAAGCGAGACCAGGTCAACCCCCCGGGTCTCACAGTCAGGTCTTTATGCCCTCCTGACGCGGGGCCCCGAACCGCGCATTCCGTTGATTTCCGCCGGGGGCCCTGGGGACTAGTCGACCAGTCCGGGCGACTTCGGTGTGAAGGGCGTCGCTCCCTACCTTGCGATGTGGTCACTGTCACTCCTTGCTCTTTGGCAGTCTGAGCGTCAAGCGTAAAGCTAAGGTTTCGAGCCAATCCGAAGGGTAGAAAGAAGTAAGAAAGGAAAGTACGAATCTAAACCGGCAACATGCGTTGCCTTTATTTCCCTTTGTGCGTCCCTTTTGTTTCCCTTGCTTTCCCAAGACATGTCCCCTTTGTTCATTTTATATCAAATCGGATTCTTTGGGGTGCTGTTGAAAGGAACATGTTACGGATCGAAGTCACGGCGGCAAACGAAACACTGGTAGGTTAGAGAAGGACTCCCACCCATCCTTGTTGATTCACATCTTGTTGGAGCTTTCAACTTCGGGATCCAGTAGTCGGAAGCCGTCTGCTGGGCTTCCTGTGCGACTCTTTTTTTGTTTTGCAAAATGTGACGTGTTTTGCAAGACAAGTTGAGCATGCGGCTTGGCCAAGCTTGATTTCCAAGATGGTGGCGTTGAATGCAAAATTTGGTCGTTAGGGAGCCACGTTGACTTTCGATTCCTCTCGGTTTTTCAGTGAGCCTCGCCTTTGCATCTTCAATCTTGGACAAATCTAGGGACACCCCAAAAGTGTACGCCTCAATAATCACCCACTCGGCCTTCGACGGGTTTCTTTTTGGGTAGATTATTGGCACTTCATTTGATTTCATATTATCCTGTTGATATCTTATCGAGATTTTAATCAGCTTAGGAACTTGACCCGTGGCATGAACTTACCCATTTTATGGGTGTCTCTTTATGTTCTTGATAGGAAACTAATCATCACTGTATGACTCAAAAAATACCCAACACACTTCAGCTGAAGAATGCAAAAGACTCTCGAGTTCCTGGCACAGGGCAAAGGAGTGGCTGATCAAGGTTTAGCTTTACCCCCAACAGAAGCAATTCTACTCCCATTTGCAGCGGTTTGATTTCACGCAAGGACAGGCCTATGACTCCTGAATTGGCAACGACTTGTCGTTTTCCTACCAGTATTTTCAGAACAGGCTTTGCAACTCCCGTTTCATAGCATTTGCTAGCATTTCTTCCCTACCATTTCTACTTTTCTCCCATCAGCTTGCATATGGTGACTCTGGCAACTCCGAAGAGCGAGCCATGGTTCACGCGGCCACGGTACTTTTCTCCCAATTTCACGGCTCCCTACCAGCTCCTTCCGCACCCTCCCGTGGCCCGCAGGCGTCATGCGACTGAACTTTTTGCTCCTGGCCCTTGTACAGGCGAAGCCGCAGGCGAAGGGGCCGAGGAATCAGAAAGAATACGGAGAAATCCGTATGGGTCATCTAAGTCTCTAGAAAATCGCAATTTTTCCCCCCACCCGACAGGAAGGGGGTGTTAGATTTTATGTTAGATTTTATATTGTTTTCTTTTTCTTTTTGTTTAATCCTGAATGGACAAATCCGTATGGGCATGGGTCAAAGTTTTGCCGTCCAGGGGACCTATGGGTATGGGTCAACATTTCACCAGGAGTTGGACCGCGGTGACCGCAGGTAGTCCTTGTTTAGATTTACCAGAGTTCCGTTTTGGATAATGATAACGGGGCCTTGTGCACTTCCATGTTTGTTTGTGCAAGGGTAGCTGCGGAAATTTTGAAAAGAGGACCCCGCACAATTCAAGGGTGCCCACTCCCCCCATTCACCGAATCAATGTTTTTTAGGGGGATTCCTCTGACTAGCACGATAACAACAGCAGCAGCAACCGCAGCCGCAGCAGCAGCAGCAGCAACAACAACCACGACGGCGACGGCGACGACGGTGACACTACACACACACACACACACTCACGCACACTTCCCCAAGAATAGTTCATTTTGGGCTGGGTTCCACCTCAAACATTTGAAGAGTATTGCAACCGCTGCTTGTTTGTTCTTCCTTTACAAGCGCTTTACGGTGTATCGTTTTGGTGGATTCAGTCAGGCATATAACTTCTGGAATCTTGGCGGGTTCGGTCTCGGTGATCTCGCCGATGCCTGTGCCTAAATCTGGCCCGGACTCGCCGAGTCGTGATTCAACGGATTGGACAGAAATAGAGTGAGCCAATTTCAAGCGCACTCATGGTGGAGATCTCTTTGCATGAGTATTCATCTCTTGGGCGACCGCTCTGATTCATATTCTTGTGATTTATGAATCAGGGATCACGCTGACCATGGCACGCACCAGAAGTTCCCCACCAAGGCAAATGATCTTCCAGGAGCCCCAGTCTGCAAGGTGCTCTGATTGATGTCGACCCCCCATTCATAAGGGTGGTTGCCAACCATCGTTGGGCCCCTTAAACGTGGTCAAAGGTGACATCGATTCGGCCCCTGAGTCAGAAAGTCATCCGTGCTTGCCAAGCTGAATTGCTTTGCTGCAAACAGCTCGAGATGGATTCAATTCTCTTCAACACTTCCATTTGCTTAAGAGGATTTTGTATTTTCCCTTGTTGGCCTTAAAAGGAATTTATCACTACTGGATTGTTTTAAATATATATATATATATATATTTCCGGGGGTCTTAACCAAATGGAAGAACCCCCACCAGAAAGGGACACGGGCTCCCTTGGAGAAACTCCCCCGACACTCCCCAAGCTTCGCGAGGCCAGCTGGGAGGTGGCTGCCAATGGCCACGCTCGGCATGGCAGCGGCTCGTTGCAGTCGTTGGGGGCGTCGGCCTGGATGTGCAACCGCAAACCAGGGGAACTTGCTCCCCGAGTTCATGGACTTTCTTTTTGGGAAGATCATTTTGGTGGCAAAACAAAAGACTTTCACGCCCTAAGTTCATGCACTTTTGAACTTTTTGGGAGGACCACTTTAGTGGCAAAACAAAGGTTTGCGAGAAACTTACTCCCTGAGTTCAGGGACAATAAACTTTTTGGGAGGAGTCGTGGCAGAACACAAAGGCTTGCATTTTTTTGGCCAGGGGAACTCAGAAAGTGAGAGCTGGATGTTCTTTGTTCCCTTGCAATGACTTGGGGCATCCGTACCAAGATTGCTTGCGGGATATGGCAATCAAACTTAAGCTGTTGGAGGGTTGAAGGTGTCACTGCGGGCGGCCAGTGAGGCCCAGCCGCCCATGGAGTTGGGGTCCCAAAAGAAAGCCACACCTCGGCCGAATGGATTGCTGGGTTGGTGGCATGTGGCCATGGGTCACAAGCAAAAGCCCGTACCCCCAGTGAACATCCCAAGCCAACCACTAAAATAGGTTCTAAAATGGGTGGTGAATTCACCAATCCCAACCAAAATGATCCCCTTTGACGGTTTTGACCACCACAGCCATGTGGCATGGCGTCGAGCATCTTGGAACTCCAAGCTCCGACCTCCCAGCTAGTCGCGGGTGAGATGGTCTTTCGTGGAAAGTGGCAGTGAGATTTCTTTTTCCCGCAACTTCCGTGAGCAAGTTTGCTCAAGTTCGCGATTTTGTGCGTTTGCGGATTGCACGTAGCCCTTTGCTCAGCAAAATGTTGGATTCAAAGAGTGCGATGTTTTGGGTATGGGTGTCTAAAATAGGGACCCCAACACGGATGCAGTTTGTTTGGTGTCTCTTCAAGCGCGGTTTCCGCCCAATAACCTAGGACACCTCTGTATTGATCCAAGAGGCGGTTTTGAAGGACAAGTCACAGGAGTTTGTGAGAGTTGATCTGATTGAAGCCTTGGGATTCCCAACTGGAAGGAGAATCCGCCAGAACTGCCGACATGTACCTGCTTTTCCTACTGGGTAGAGTGGGTCTTGGTTGTGACTGTTTTGTCTCCAAAGTGTACCCTCAGATGCCCTCAAACCAGAGACACCTAGGATGAAAACCCCCACGTCTCAGGCACTAAGACCTAGGACCCCATATAAATGGAGACAACCTAAGAGTGTAAAATGGCACGCCCGTCCGGGATCGGATCCTAGGATTCATCTCCACGCAAGCGCTGGCGGAAGACGCGCCGGTCGCTGGAAGCTCAATGGAAGTGTTTTTTTTCACACCATTTTTTTGGGGTGTCTCCGAAAATGACACACCCCTATGGGTAAACAAACAGGGAAGCATACCTGGTTGTCAAAAGCTGATATCTGGCACAACTGGCTCAGTGCAAACTGTTTGCCTCGCAAAACCTGCGCCATGCACTCGCGTCCAGGTGAACTAGCCCAGGAGAGCATCCTTTAGGTTGCCCGGATATCGACCTTCAGTAGCACATTTGGTGGTAGCTTCCCTTTTCAATCAACCGTCTCAAACAGATGGCCTGTTTTGTTCCGGTGCGAGTCGTGTGTTTTCCTGAGTTTTTTTTGGTTTTTTCTTTTTTTTTCCGCTGCGCAGGGGACTGTGCAAGTCCGTCCAGCGCAATAGCAGTCTGTACCAGTTCCGAATATGCTATCATGTGTGTTGCCTGTTTTGTGCAAGAAATTGTATAAGAAGCCCGCACCATTTTTCGTACCCCACGCCGCACGCCTCTAGCCCCCCAAAGTATTCTCCGCCACGTAGTTTCATATAACCCCAGACTTTTGCCCGGTAGGCAGGGAATCGCCTGGCCCAGCTCGATTTGGCAAAGGTCTTGTTAAGCGTACCATGTTACGCACAGTGATAGTTTGTTTCTGGCAAGGGTTTCAACATTCGAGGAGCGCGCGAATGGTTCAGTGGCACAGTGGGGCCGTTTTGTAAAGACCGCGTGGAAAACATATCTTGCATTGGCAGTAGGTTAGTTTTGCTCAGGTGTGTTCTGGTATGTTGATTGGTGGACTGGGTGTTCGGTCGTGTCTTTCCTTGGGGAATCCCCCTTTGGTTTGTTTGAATGGGAAACTCCACGAAGGCAACCATTTTTGGGGTCCATTTAACTTTATGAAGACAATTGCAGAACATGATTTCGAGTTCCTCAACCCAAATGATAAGCTAGCCAAGCTCGACACCACCCATTTGAAAGGGCGACCGCTGTCGGTGGGGCCTGGTAGGTTTCAGAGAGAAAGCTGTCTTAGGTCGGTCATTTCAACAGAAACTGCGGGTATAATTATCCAGTTGCACAACGGTTCCTTTAGGGAAGATACGCTTGAGGAGAGTTGGGGAGCGGGATTCGATTTTGGTGAACATGTCCGGGCTATGGTCGGGAGGGGGGGGCCTCACTAAAGTGCATGCAAACAACAGACTCACTACCTTGTCCATCAAGGCAGCACACAATCTTGGTCGTCAGTTGGGAGTTTGGGATAGATGTTAGGGTCCCCCCCAAGCCGGCACAACATGTAGCTGGGGTCCAGGCATGTTGGGAAGTACCACCAAACTACCTCAACGTTCCCTGAAACAGGTCAATCTCCCATAGAAACGGAATTTCAGAATGGGCAGTTTTCCTTCGGTATCCCGAAAAAGAACATGCCGCAAATTGTACCATCTCAAGACACAAGACGCAGCCAATCTGGGCACGGCCGATTTGCCATAGGTCAAGCCCAACGAGACCGCTGGCAGGCTCAAGGCCATCCCCGTCGTCTCTCGTGACCCCCCTTCCCCCTCGTTCTGGGTCCGTCAACTTGGTCCCATGTTCTCTGGTTTCAGTCGATTTTTTATTGGGCCACGGTCTTGAAAAGGATACTCAAAAAAGATGTTATTATGGATGATAAGTTTGTCTTATCTAGTGGAAAAAAGTCTTCGCGCGATTTGGAGGGTGATTTTGAGGGTGTTTTACTTAACCGCCCTGCGGTTTTCCGCAACAAACCTTTTGCGCAGCGGAGGGCTGCACCAAAACTCGGGTCGCTCAGAACTTGGGGCCCGGGATGTGTTCGGGTCGTCAGCAGCGAGTTCAGCCAAGACTCAACGGCTGGATCCGCGACCGCGACTGCAACTGAGGTGTTCGACATGCCACGTGCTCCTCGTCAACATGTTCCGTGCCTTGATGGGTGAAGCAATCAGACGCCTATGTCTACACGGTGCGGTTCCGGTGGGGCTATATCCTGTTTGATGAGACTATTCCGCAAACATGAAACATGATATATATATATATATATAGAGATACAATGTTTTCCCTTTCCTTACTCGGTTGTGGGAGGGTTCTTTGTGGCATCATGCTTCATGCCCCTTGTACTGTAAGTCGTACGTCATTGCTTAAAGCGGTCCATGTTGCCCAAGCCTTTGGTCGAAAGGTCACGTCTCTCTCCATGGCTCCAAAAAGCATCTGGCGCATGCGGGTTGTATGCAGGCGCGAAAACCAAAATGGGAACTCCAAAGTAAGGAAGCTGCGAGGACCGCTGGTCTCGTTCTGCCGTTTGAAAGCGGACACTCTCCCTCCCTCTCTTTCTCTTTCTGCTGTTTCAAAAACAGCCTGAAGTTAAAAATGGACTCCAACAGGAACCCACCAAAAGGGGTTGAATTGGATATGGGTCAAAATGAACCCAGAGGAAAAAAGCGGGTTTAAGTCTTTGTTTCCATTTACCGGGGCAAGCCATTTTGGGGTTACCCTATTTTTGACCCACACCCAATTGCTGATTCCTTTCAACCGGCGGTTGGCTGCTCGTTCAGCATGTTTCGGCCAGGTGAAGGGCAAGCACTGGGTCCAGCCCTCGCAGGCCCCGGCACCTGACGAACGCGACCGTGTGTTGGTGGCTTTAAAACGGCCTTGGGAGGGAGAGGTCACTCAAGCCAACTGTTGGAGGGGAGTTTTGCACTGACTTTGAGGGAAGGAACATTGAACTTTGATTGTTTGGATTTGGAGACATAACATATGTATATTGCTGCCTATGACAGCCCACAGGTTCCTTCTCAAGGTAGGCCACTCTGTACCCAACTGGCCAATGGGCCCTGAGTCGAAGCAACCAGAAGAACTGCTCACTTCCTGAGTTCCAGAAGCGAGACAGGCCTCGAAGCTGAAGACTGTGATTGCTCAGCCAAGGTTGAACTTAGGTGCGTTGCCTCACCTGACTTCTCCAGAAACACAAACTTCCATGAAATCTGCTTGGGACGACCCTGGTAACGGGAACAAAACATGTTGGGCTTCTGGGAAAATCCATGGATGCAGATCCTTCCAGTGTCGAGGCTTCTGTTGTGCGCCGCTGCAGTTGATTCCTGCGATGTCTCAAGTAGGGAGCAGAGGAACTTGCTCTGCGCGTTTTGTGGCTGGTTTGTGCCTGCTAATAAGGGTATGGGTCAAAATTAAACCACCGGGGGACCGCAGATTTGAGTCTACGTTTCCACTTGCAGGGTTCCATTTTAGGTACCTATTTTTGACCCACAGCCTACCCTGTTCCACAGCTAGGGTGGTGTTTCTATGGAATCGGGCCACATGCGACCAGGCGTTTCATGAAGCCGCACACTCGGGCGCCTTGGCGGGGTTTTCACGGGTGTTTAACCTTCCTATGTCTTGGTTTTGCGATTTCAAAGTTTTAATGTGCCTTCCCATTTTGGCTTCAAGGGCTTTTTGAGGCTCAAACTCACGATCCACACATTCAAGCCAGCTAAGGGCACGGCGGGCTTGCTTCACGCGTGGTTTTCTCTTCCGACCAAAGTGTCGCCGAGTTCCGGGCAAAACCTGCAACTCGCGGACCCGGAGCCCTGGTCACCATGGAAGCCCAAAACCATTGGACAAGACGAGGATGTTTCAACTGGTGGAAGGCTCTTTCGGCACATAAGCGATGGTAAGGTACACGGGCTGAGCATGCGGAGGTTCACTCAGATGGGTTATGATTGCAGGATATGAGAGGCCTTGTTCCCGCTTGGATGTGGCTTACGTAGGTTCTCCAAAGTCCAGAGGGGTCATGTCGTGCCTCCTTGAAAGAGGGTCACCGGAAAAGGGGTTGAATCTCGTCTTTGGATATTCTCTTTTGCTTGTTGAATTGAAAGCACACGGTCCCTTACTGCGGGGACGGGTGTATCCTCAGGGGTGGGGCTGAACGAACGCTGGTCATGAGGGTCAGCAGCAAGCAATGTTTGCCATGCGTTCTGACCGTGATCGTGTCAAGCTTTGGGAGTGCGCTCTCAGCGTCACAGTATGCTTGCGGGTTGCCGCTGAATTGCATGTGGGAGCACCGATGTCAATTCTATGCGGCACTCGGTCTAACATAATTAGGGTTGCGACCAGAAGTTCCAGGGATACCCAACACGAGTTGCAAGATTGCCTTACTTGTCAGATGTTCAATCCTTGTTTTCTTTGTTGGCAGGTTTCTTCTTTGTTTTGCTTTTCAAACGCCACACTGTTTTTTACCTTGTTCTGGCCGCGGCAGTGGCCAAATCGCCCTTCGGCTCACGAAAAGCACAGGGCCTGTATTGGACCTGAAAAAGTTTGGCCGCCCTTTAAAGCTGTAGGATTGCTTTTGGAGGATGCCAAGTGTGCGCCAATAAAAGCACCCCTCAAAACAGGCGGATGACCTCCCATTTTAACCGCAAGTGCCGAGGACATTCTGTAGCTCCCAGTGCTTTGCCAGACATCTCCGGCGCACCGCTGGCCCGATTCAACCTGACAGCCAATGTTGAGCTATTCCACAGAGAAACCCGCCGTGGGATGCTGATCTACAAGGTTCAATTTGTCTCGAAGGGAAACCAAAGGGAAGGGTATGTCTCGTTCCAGGCAGGCAGGTGACTCGCGGATTCAACGTTTTGGATCTGAGCCGCATCCGTACTCGGAGGTTAACCGATGGCGACCTCACTCATGAAGGTCATGTTCATGGCGAACCAATGCTTTGAGATTGAGGGCTGTGGGATCTCTTGTGTTCACTTGCTATTGTCTTTGCTAGGCTCTTGGGCATGAGCTCTTCTCAACTTCTTACCATCCTCAGGGGGCTGTGGCCGATGCAGGAAATGGAATGGGCATGGCGGTGAGGGTTTCCCGCTTGGAGGTTCCGCAACTTAAGACTTGCCAGTCGGAAGAACTTCCAGGTGAGGGTTTGTTACAGCTTGAGACATGCGGGCTGTTCAGAAAGGGGCCTCGTGTGTGTTGACACTTGCATCTTTGCCTTAATCAGTCAGTGGAGAGTGGAAGGGCAGGGAGGAAGGCTCCTGGAGAGAGTTTTTGGCAATAGCAGAGAGCTTTGTGTGGCAGCTGTGTGGCCACAAGTTGACGTGGAGTGATGTCACCAGATGAGAAGCGGCAGCTATCCTTGAGGATGTGATGGGTGCCCGGAGAACGGCGTTGGCAGTGCTGACTTGGCTGGGAGCCTTTCGTGCAATCAAGCAGATGATGACGGGGCAGATCAAGCTTGAACGGGAGAAACAGGGTTCTAAGCATGTCTTTTCAAGGCGCCAGTCATCTTTCCTGATCGTTGACAATATCAAGAGAGTGCCCCCTTCGCTTATGCAATTCTATGGCCGGTGCTTTCATGCCTTACAGAGTGCCTCGCAGCCACCCTTCCGGGCGCGGGGTGTTTTGCAGCGAGATATTGCGTGAATCAAGTTCTAGATTGTTCCGGGATCCTTCTTCGCAGACATGTTCCAAGCCTAAGAGAAAGCTTGATTTTGTCACAAGAACCATGGTGAAGCGAACACATAGGGATAAGCAGGCTAAGCCTTGTTGACAAATACGATGTTTCAACTCGGTTTCAGGTTTGTTCGGAGAGCCCCTTTTTCGCCAGAAAGCAAAGCTGTCTGACATCCAACGCCCTTTTTCCCCCTTTCTGTTGGAGAGGGCGCCCGAATTGTCCCACCTCCTGGGCCGTGCTTTGAACTCCGAGCACGCCCCTTTGCCGGTGCCACTTTTTCTGGCAGGGCAAATCAGGTGGTATGACCCCAGGATTTGTTTTTCCCGATATGCCGGTGTTTATTTGTTTTAATCTTGGACGACCATGAATGACGCTTTGCTTAAGTTTGAGCAGAGTTCCCTTTTTCTGAAGCACTTTCCTTGAATCCTGCCAAGAACATGTAAGCATTAAGTAGGGAAAGGTTCCCAAGATGCTCACATGTGGTGTGGTTTCCTTTTGTTTGCCCTGTAAAGGGAATCCAAGAGGACCCCTTTACAGGCCACTCAAGCGGTTGGAGCCTTGGTCGTGTGATTCTTCAGCCAGGAGACGCTAGGCAACCGGACTGGGAGAGGCAGTCAAGCCGTCGCAAGTTTTTGGCAAACCGCGGGACAGGTTGCCCTACACATAGGTTACTTTCTGTGGGGTGTCCTTGAACAGTATTCAAAACGCGGGGTTCCCTGTTTCAGGAAACACGTGTGGACAGTCTTCCTTGTTGAGCTCGATCCCGTTTTTGCATCCAAGAAGCATGTCCCCTTTCATACCATGACTTCGCGGGATGGAGGGGGCAACGCCCAAAGGATTGCCCTCCCTCCCAAAAACACGCAACGTGAATCTGACACTATCAAACACCAGTGTTCAATTTGTTCGGGTTCCCCTCAAGTTACCTGTTTGTGGATGGAAGCCCCACTTGGCTTAGGGGAATGACTGGGGCCCGCGGGAGGCCACGGAAGGTGTTTCGCCTCATCGTGTGGTTTTTGTCGGGATCGGCTCGCCTCGACACGCGACATGTTGTGGAAATGTGCAATGTATCATCCGCAGAGTGCTTGGGAGCCCCATGGGAAGCCGGAGATTGCACATTGTGACATGCTTTTTTCTGGCTGTCATGCAGTTGGTCTTGCTGGACCAAGTGCAAGCGACATTCCACTGACCCTCCCCGTCGAGCCACTGAAGTTGGCAGTTTCAGAGCATATTAGAGGTCATCTTGGAGGGTCGCAGCATGCAGCTGGAGTGACCATGTGTCTGCAAAAACGGTGTTCAAAGAGCATACATGTGCGCCGTGCCAGAAGAGTATTTGATATGAGAGAAGAGAGAAACCGCCAAAGCCTTGTAGCTGTGTGCCGCTCTGCCATGCGTATACCACGATGACGCAGAAATTACCGTCCCCTCTCTTGACCCTTACGCGCCCATCCTGCCCTGCTTGTCCATTTGCATGTGTGCCATGAGCAAGAGACCTTTTGTTGTTGGATTACCATGGTAAGGGTTCCTTGCCGGGGAGCCATAGCCGGACCCACCGGAGGAGTTCTTACCATGACAGAGGTTTTGGAATAAGCATTGAGCTACTTCGCGGAGCTTGAACCTGACTATATGAAACATCATCTCACCCAAACGAAGCTCGCTACGCCGCCGTTACTCTTTGCGGGTGGGGGGGGGCCCGGCGGGTGACCTTTAAGCACTGTTTCCCACTTAGCAACGCTAGGCCCGGCGCTCCTTGTCCTTCTGGCTCCCTGAACTGCGCAGAAAGGAATTGACATTTGGAACTCCTTAAATCTTGCAAGGGATCAAGGACGGCCCTGCGTTTCGCGAGGGTGTGTGGCAGGTTCACTTGCTTCATATAGCTGGTCAACATTTGGTACCCAAAATGGAACCTTGGCAAATGGACATGGCCATGTCGAAGGCTCCAACTCGAAAAAAAGAAGAACAAAGGAAAAAGAAAAGAAACAAAAGAAAACAAAAGAAGAAAAACACAGGAAACAAAGCAACAAATAATAAGAACAAACATAAAATAAGAAACACGATAAGGAAGACAACAAAAGGAACAAAAAGGAAAAACAGAAAAACAGGAAAACAGAAACAACAAACATAAAAAACAACTGAAAGAAAAGAAACAACAACAAAAAAGAAAGACAACAAAATAAGAAAACAACCACATATATATATAAGAGGAAAACAATAGAACCAAATGAAACAAATAAGAAAACAATAACACAATAAAACAAATATATAAAGATAAAACAAAAAACAAATACAAACAAGAACAACCACAAATAAAAAAGGAACAACAATAATAATAATAAAAATATAAGCAAGAAAAAACAAGAAAACAAGAAGAAACAAAACACACACACACAGAAACAACAACAACTGACCAGAGGGATGCCTCGCAGGTGCTTCCGCCGGCCAGGCAGAGCTGGCAGAGGGCTGGGAAAGGGTCCACTCCGGTTACGAGCTTTCATGCAAGCCTTGTCTTGGTGGCTCCCAGCCATCCGGTTCCTTAGCCTTTTAGCCTTTTAGCTTTTTGGGGTTTAGTGGTAGTTTCCATGTAACCCACTGAAAGTTAAAAACTTTAGCAGGGGATCAGAAAACGGGCAGCCCAGTATCGAGTTGCACATGTCACACGGGAGGGGTCACAGATGACCCGTTTCCGACAGATTCATACTGGACGCTGACCAGGAAGCCTTTCCTCAAGTTCAAGCGGCGGCCAAATTTAGGTATGGGTCAAAATTCAACCACCAGGGGACCACAGGTTTTAGTCATTGTTTCCGTTTACTAGGGTGCCATTTTGGGTTCCTATTTTTGACCCACAGCCATTTCAAGGGGCACCATTCCTTTCAGTGGTCCTGCTTACACTTTCACCATCTGTCGGACCAGCCAGGGACTATTGGGGACAGGCTTGGTAATTATTCAAACACAGGAGGGCGGGTCTTGGGGCCGACGGTAGTGTCCCATTTGCGATTGGGACGGTATGTGTCAACGATCGCCTGCACCCAAGGACAATCATGAGTGTAGCATCAGGTTGAACCCATTTGTTACAACCCATTTAGGGTCACCCCAACCACCACAGAGTGCTTCATCGTTAGCTCTGCCCTAGCTCCTGTAATTATTCCGGAAAGTTGCGCGATTGACAGCCATTGTAGTTGCCATGGCAAGGATACATGTTTTGCTGGCGATGACCATGCCTCTTAAGAGTTTGGACGTTGGCAAAAGGAGCGATTCCAATTGTCTAAGGGCCGTTTCATTTCATTCCGGGCTCCACTGGGAGTTTACCACTTTAGGGTATGTTCCACACAAGCACCTGTCATGTTGGACGGTCATTCCCAAGAAATTGACAGGACCCACAATTTTCAAGCCGGGCCTGACAACCAGTTGGGCTCGCTATGTTTTCTTTCCTTGGGGCCGGGGCTAGCCTGTTGGGACATCGCCAATGAGCAACTTGCAAAGTGTTGGCTGCTTAGCTCCCATAGACCCGTGGGCTCGTGTAGACCTGAGCTCGTCTTGGGAAACGTTCGCAAATCTTCTTCTGGGCTCGTGTAGACCTTTTCAGGAATGAGATGACGGGGCTCGCCTTGAAGTGAGAAGACTAGTCATAACCTTATGGCATCACAATTGGTTCCCAGCCTGCCACCTTCGAGTGAGCTTGTTTGGAACAAGTGTTTGGCTTGCGGATGATCCCCCCAAAAGGTTGGGTTTTTTTTGACCGCGTTTATCGCGGGTTGATCAGAAACCAAGGGATATGAAGAATTGGGTCAAAACCCAAATCGGTTAGCCCCCAGTGAGCATCCGATTCAATCCAAGCACTAAAATAGGTTCTAAAATGGGTGGTGCACCTATCCCAAAAATGGGATACCATTGGTTTTGAACCATGGCCTTGGCAACTCTGCTTGTCAACACTACGATCACGTTTTGAGAGCCTGTTTAAGCGCGGCACCACATGTCCAAAGTTTTGATCCCAAGAACCAACAATCGTTTTGACTCTTTGGCGCGTCTGCGGTCAACTCGTGGTTCACGGTTCCTTTCATAGAAACACCTTGGAATAGTTGGAGCCTCCTACGGCTTCTGATCGCGCCTCCAGTTCCTGCAACCAAACAACAACATCGAGGTTTGAACACGAGCCAGCCTTTTGGGCTTGACCCAAGGGATAGGCAAAGTGGGAATGTGCCCTGGAATGTGAACCTGCCATGCATGCCAGGAGTCGGCCACACCATATCTCCAGGGGCACTCGAGCTGCAAGAGATGGGTTGGGCTGAGTCGAGCTGCAAGAGATGGGTTGGGTTGATCTAGGATGTTGACCATTGACCCGTGGATCCTGCGACAGACTGTCAAGATCCCCTCCCCAACCCTCAAACCCCTACTTGGTTCTATATTGCCATATATTGCCTAGCAAGGCTTATTCAGTGCTTGACCAGTCCGTCTAACCTTTCAGCAAGTTTGACAAGCAGTCATTCGGGGTCCACATCATAGTCATGGCATTTGATTTAAAGAGAACGCCTGGTGCTATGTTGTGGGCTTTCCCGCAGGGGGGACCCACTTTGGGACGGGCTGCAGGAACGTGAAAGGAAAGCTTGAGCATAGGACACGATCCTCTCCAGGTTTCAAAGTTGCAGCTAGATTCATCAAGCGGAGCCCACGGGAAAACGCCGAGGCGCACCCCACAGCACATTAAGTCCCTTGTGATTAGTTGGGGAGAACGAGACGGGCAGACGGGGGACAAAGCTCCAATGGGCAAGGAGGCAGCCTCACTTGGGAAATGCCTTTGGATGCCAGTCAAACCGAAGACCGGCTTTGTGGGTCTCCTGTTTTTTTTTTTTTTTTTTTTTTTTTTTTTCTCGAAAGCTTGGCACCCTTTTCCGCTTTTTGCCAGGACCAAACATGAACCCAGCCATTTTGAAGTATTCCTCTTGCCATTGAGAACCATCCCAAAATAGATCCCCGGCTTGATTTCGTTCGCACACTTCTGTGATGCCAGGGTACATCCTGTTATGGAAAGGTGATTGGGAGGCGTTTTTTTGCGGCATTACCGCAGTGCTTGCAATCCCAAATCCCTGCCGAATAAGTCCATCAATTTCGCAAATCCCACAGGAACAGCTCAAAGCGTCCTGCCCGCACAGGTATAGCTGAGGCTAAAACATATCCGCCATCCCAATTCTCGTTTTCTGTGTGTGTGTGTGTGTTGGGTTTGTCCATGTTTGTTTGTCTGTGTGTTTGTGTGTCTGTGTGTCTCTGCGTCTGTGCGTCTCTGTGTCTGTGTGTCTGTGTGAGTCTGATTGTGTGTCTGTGCGAGTCTGTGGGTGCGTCTTTGCGTGTGTGTCTGTGTGTCACGTGTGTGTGTGTGTGTGTCTTTGTGTGTGTGTGTGTGTGTTTGTGTGTGTGTGCGTGTGTCCGTGTCTCTCCGTGTTTCTCCGTGTCTCTCCGTGTCTCTCCGTGTCTCTCCGTGTCTCTTCGTGTCTCTCTGCGTCCCTGTCTCTCTGTCATTTGTTTTTGATTGTGAAGAGAGCTGAAAGGAAACTAGGCCATTTTGTGGCTTCTCTCCAAACGGGGACAACATACACTCATTTGGTGGGGTCCAACTACTCATTTGGAGATGTGTCAACATTTTGGGACACACGTCGTGGCGTTTCTTCTTACTTCACTTCAGGGTATCCTCAAGGACACACCCATAAGAAAACTCTGGGCGTTAGCTTCTCACTTTCTGTGGCCAAGGGCATCTCATTTCAAGTAAAGTGGTAAAGTAGCCATTGCCCACATGGGCTTGTCTTTTTAAAGGGTGCCTCGTTTCCGTGTTGCTCTGAAGCGAAGCCAAAAGAAAACAAGGGGTTCCGCAGTATCTGTTTTTGGGGGGATGCCCCCCAAGAAAGAAACAAAGGTGCACCTGGTGGTTTTCCTTTGAAATGGCTTTCCTAACCGAAAATTCAAGAGGTACCCTTAAGAAAAGACACATCTACATAAACCCCACATGGGTATGGGTCAAAATCAAGCCAGCAGGAATTGGACCGCAGGTCTTAGTCATTGTTTCCATTTACCAGGGCCAGCCATTTTGGGGTGACCCCATGTTTGACCCGCAGCCAGATGAATGGGTGGATCTTACCGTGGAAACGCCTCTGAAACTTGTGCCTTGCTATGGGTCTCAAAATGGGAAAACCCCACATCTTGAACAGGGCTGCTTAAAAGATCTCCATTTTGCCACCATTTGAAACATGTTGCTTTTTCAACACAACAAATAAAGTTGGACACCACCCATGTACGAGTTGCAATGTTCCGGTGTATAATGCATCCGGATCCCTGCTTCACCAAAATTGGGGACAATCCCAATTTGAAGACTCCGCGTTTTGTTTCTTGACGTTTCCAGTTGCAGGTTCCCAAAGAGCCTTCACCTGTAAGGATCCCCGTTGAACCCCCCATCTACCGCCAAAAGAGAACGACTCTGCCAGAGGTACTGCAGCTCCTCAGGGGCCAAAGTGGCGCCTTGGCGCCGCGTTTAGATATGGCGAGCACCGGTGTCCGTTTGGTTGCCGGCCTGGGGCCGCACAGTACGTCAGGGAGTCTGAGGTTCGCAGGTTTCAGTGGAATCAGTTCCTTTTCGGTTTGTTTCAATCCGAGAAGGGCCAGGGTTCCAAAAGCTTAACGGAGGGCAGAGTCACGTACTTGCCCTTTGGGCACATTTTTTACTTGAAATTCTACTTGTGAACTGAGCGGAACGGCTTGCCCCGTTTGTCAGTGTAGAGTAGCAGGAGTACGCGTGGTTGCTTGGTGGTGTTCTTACACCCCATTTGAACAGAACAGTCGCCAATTTGGGTGGTGGACCCAATTTGGATAGAGCTCTTGGTTGTTCTTTGGCATGGCTCACCGCATAGCCTTTTGGAAGTTCGGCGACGAAAAGCTATGGTTGCGTGCGCGTTATCTTTGTCAGTGTTCTTCTTATGACCATGACAGGTCAGCTCATTGTCATTTGAATATGGTGCCCTGAGGCAATCTGAATAGGGAGCTTGAACATATGGCCGGTTCCTACCACCCCCCCTGAGTTTTGGCCAAGACAGATCATATTCAGATGTCAGGCCTCTATGACAAGGAATGGGGGTGGTTGAAATCCCATGACGCATGAATCTCACGGGAGCATATTTGTCTAGTGGTCTCTGTTTTTGGTTCCCTTTAAAATCAAGAGGTGTCTTCCCAGTAAAAACCAGCGTGTGAGAATATGACCTTGGTTGACAAACCTACCAACCCAGAGTGAATCGACCGAAGAATGACTTCTTTCCTCACACAATTTCTGCGGGAGTTGCCTAAAGTTGAGACCGCTTTTGGGTTGGTGTTAAAGGAGACGGCCAGAGGAAGCTCATCTGCTCTGCATGCTGGCCCAATATTTGTTCGGTTCCAGGGCACGTTGCCGTGCTACACTGGAAACCAAAGTGCAAGCAGCCTTGACCCTTGCAAACAAACCACGCGTCTTCATCTCCTTTCACTCTTCGTTCCTTTGACTTGCTCGTTGGCCTGTTGAAAGGGACGGTATCCTTGGCAAGGTGACGTTTGGCGACGCCGGGCTGGAGGGCGAAGGCGCAGCTGCGACGCGAGAGATGACGGCGCATGTGTCTCAAGAGGTTGATGTCCTAAGCTTATTATGTGTCAATGTAGGGATTTGGAGCCCAAACAAATGCCGCTCAGGGCCAAGCTTGAAACGGGTGTCCTCAAAGATCACCCGTGTCCTCATGAACTGAAAATTTGCGAGGCCTTGGCCAGGCCTTACTTTGGGTCGCTCTTGGCAGAAGGATTCCTCGAACTTTCAGGGGCGAGTTCGACCAACCCAACTCGCAGCCAATGAGCCCGCTGAGTTCAAGGCTGTCCTTTGTCCCGGGACTTGAGCCAACTTGAAAAACGCAAGGCACCCTGATGGTTGGACCTTGGATTCTATTGTGAAGTATGCTTGCAGGAATCCAGTTGGTACCACTTGGGTCCCTGTTTCAGGAAGGAAAACATATGGGCCCCCAGGGAGGTCGGACCGTGCCTTGCGTTGCGCAAAGGGCTGGCTGATGGATGCAATGGACCCTTTTTTTCACACTATGAGAGGACCTTTTTTAAAGCTATTTTTAGAGCAAAAAGATGAAAAGCAAGGAACTGAGCCCAGGTTTTTTGGTGCCTCAAACAGCCAACAAGGCCCACTAAGTTCGGCTCTGGACAGGGCCGTTTCCACATTTGGCCCTCGCGTTTCCAGTTTTCTCAGCTGCCAGGAACGACCACAACCCGCCCCCCCGGAGCGAGCGAGAACGCCGGAGCCTCATGCGCCCTTCGAAGGAAGGGATGGTTGATCAAACTTCCTGGCCCCCGGTATGGGACCATGGGCCGTCGGTAGCTTTTCCAAGGCTCAGTAACTTTTCCCATATGGGACACGTCATTTGTTGAGTGGTTCCGCTTCGGGGGGGGTGTGCCATAGGGCGCCTGAAGTGAGTTTCCTTGCAAAACCATGGCAGCTATAGGGTTTTTTCTGCCCAGATCCGGTCCGGAGCAGCTCAAGAGGGAAGGTTGCGTAGCATTCCGAGAGGTGCCCATGGTTGCTGGATTGGTTCCAGGCGGTGCTGGAGGGTTCTGGAGAGTTGCTGAGTGGCATGGAGCGGTTGTTGGAGGTCTTGAGAGGTTCCGGAGGGTTTGGGGGATGAATCCGGTGGGCCGTCTGGGCATTTGCTGGAGGCTCCGGTCTGGAGGTGGTTGCGTACGGTTGGCCGTTTTGGTGTCGTGGGTCACCGGGCTTGCTTCTTTCTCTCACTTCCCAAGTTTCTGAAGTTTCTTCGTGGGAGCATCACTGTGGCAGACAAGTGAATTGGGGCTGCTTTTAGGCAACTTTTCTCAGGAAGCGAGTGTTAAGTGTATATATGTTCTTCCACGGAAGAGGTTTGTTTAGAAAACAATTGTGAGAACCCAGTTTAAGCTACGGCAACATACCCACAATTTGGGGAGTCTGGTTCCGGACATGGACATGACACACCTTTGTTGCTTGTAGGGATGATCATGGATCCATTGCACGGGAACTTAGACAAGCACTTGCAAGGGGTGTGAATGCACAGGAGCCATTTGGCCGTTTTCCTGACGCACCCCAAATTCTGAGCCCCAAAGCCCTCAAACCTGAAACGCAGAGGACTTGTGTGAGAGAGGGTGTCAAAGCAAGCAGGGCTCTGGCTCAGAAGGGCCGTTCAGTTTATCCATGCTGGTTTCCGTCAAAATCAGCTTCGATTCTCTTAGTCTATTTTAACAAATCGGCATTAAAGGCGATTGATCATAGCTGGCGAGAGCGATTTCTTCTGTTTATTGGAGCGTGCCCTCCAAATGGCTTGTTGTCTCTTGGCCTCCTTCAAACATCCTCAAAGGAGAGTATCCACAAAGATGGACACGTGGCCATGGGTCCAAATCCCGTACCCCCAGTGAACATCCCAATCCCACCAAAATAGGTTCTAAAATGGGTGGTGCACCTGCCAACCAAAATGAAATCCCATTGGTTTTGACCCACAGCCACGTGCCAAAAGGGACCGTGCCAAACGTACTCCGCGCAGCTCGGTGTGACTCGGATGGCTGCGTGAGGCCATGAAGAATGCGCTCTCCACCAACGTTTGTCCGTATCGCTACTATGCGCCTCGGCAATCGCGCGTGTAGAATTGGGGGGGGCGGGGGATCACAGCTGCGAGAGTAGATGGCGCAACCTCCCCCATGTTGGTTTTGTCCATCCTCTTTACTTGCGGAAACGTCTCTACTTTCACCCTGCTGACCCTGATTGGACGGTCTCCAAAACGGGGGTGGTTGTTTTGCAGTGAACGAGGCGAGCGTCTTCTACCCACAAAAAGCCGCGTGTGCAGCATCTCAACCAATTCCATGCGTGAGTGAGTGAGTGAGTGAGTGAGTGAGTGAGTGAGTGAGTGAGTGAGTGAGTGAGTGAGTGAGTGAGTGAGTGAGTGAGTGAGTGAGTGAGTGAGTGAGTGAGTGAGTGAGTGAGTGAGTGAGTGAGTGAGTGAGTGAGTGAGTGAGTGAGTGAGTGAGTGAGTGAGTGAGTGAGTGAGTGAGTGTGTGAGTGAGTGTGTGAGTGTGTGTGTGTGTGTGTGTGAGTGTGTGTGTGTGAGAGTGTGTGTGTCTGTGTGTGTCTGTGTGTGTCTGTGTGTGTCTGTGTGTGTGTGTGTGTCTGTGTGTGTCTGTGTGTCTGTGTGTGTCTGTGTGTGTCTGTGTGTGTCTGTGTGTGTCTGTGTGTGTCTGTGTGTGTCTGTGTGTGTCTGTGTGTGTGTCTGTGTGTGTCTGTGTGTGTCTGTGTGTGTCTGTGTGTGTCTGTGTGTGTGTGTGTGTCTGTGTGTGTCTGTGTGTGTCTGTGTGTGTCTGTGTGTGTCTGTGTGTGTCTGTGTGTGTCTGTGTGTCTGTGTGTGTCTGTGTGTGTGTGTGTGTCTGTGTGTGTCTGTGTGTGTCTGTGTGTGTCTGTGTGTGTCTGTGTGTGTCTGTGTGTGTCTGTGTGTGTCTGTGTGTGTCTGTGTGTGTCTGTGTGTGTCTGTGTGTGTGTGTGTGTCTGTGTGTGTGTGTGTGTGTCTGTGTGTGTGTGTGTGTGTGTGTGTGTGTGTGTGTGTGTGTGTGTGTCTGTGTGTGTGTGTGTCTGTGTGTCTGTGTTTGTGTGTCTGTGTATGTGTATATGTGTATATGTGTATATGTGTATATTTGTATATGTGTACATGTGTACATGGGTATGTGTGTATGTGTATGTGTGTATGTGTCTGTCTGTGTGTGCGGCAGTTGTTTTTTGGGGGTGCGTAGCTACGTACTCCAAATCATGCATGTTAATTGGCTTTGAACCTAGCCCATTTTGAACATTGAGGCCCTATGTGTCTCACCCCAACAGCAGCTGGTGAGACTGAGAGGCGCGAGAGATCTCTTGTAACTTCCGGTAGCACTGCTCCCTGGCCTCGGGATCCCATTTTGGGGTAGGTAAATTCACCACCCCTTTGAGAACCTATTTTAGTGGTTGGCTTGGGATGTTCACTGCGGGTACGGGCTTTTGCTTTTGACCCATGACCAAATGGGTGTGGGTCAAAATTAAGCCACCAGGAATTGGACCGCATATGTTAGTCTATGTTTCCATTTTACCAGGGCAACCCATTTTGAGCACCTATTTTTGACCCGCAGCCACATTGCGTTGGGTTTCGAAAGGAAATTGTTGTGATTGGCAGATGTTGCGTTTTAGATGCACAAAAAATTGCAGGGGGTCTGAGTCTGATCAAGAAAGAAATTTCCGGACAGCAGCGCGAGGGGTCCCAATGCAGAGTCGCGAGTTTGTTTCTGGTCACCGCTAGCACTGGCCCCACCAAGGGGTGATCTTGAAATCACATATTTCCAGGTCCTTTGATCAAACGAGAACGCTCTCCCTCCCACCGACAACCATGTGCTTGCTGAGTTGTTTGGCCACCTGTGGTGAAACGAGTCGGTCGGCGTGCCTTACCATTTGAGCTGTGACGGGATCCAGGGTCCCTTGTGGGGGAAAGCAAAAGGGATCCTGCTAGGATCATGTTTTGTAAATAAGGGTTGTGCAGCAGGTGAGGTTTGCGGGCATTCTTATGGCCACGGAACTGTATGATACCTGCGTATTTGGGAATAGAATCCCACCAAGCACAAAATTTGATTTCGGGGTAAGCATTGCTTTTAGCCGAAGAGTGAAGCAGGGCATGGGGCAGTTGAGTGCTGCCACCATACCTGGTTTTATTGGGTCCTACAGCGAAAAGCATGTTTTGTCTTTTGTGTGGGTGGGCAGGGCCACCCCCTGTTTGCAAGGGACACCAAGGGGGAATCGCCCATTTTTGGGGTCTTTTTGTTGGACCAGGCTCGGCCATTTTTTCTCCATGGGACTCGGGGCTCGCGATTTCGAGACCGACCGAGGTCTTTGAGGTGCTGGAAACCGTGGGCGGCGGCACCTCCTGGGAGATCGCGGAGCTTCGCCTGTGGGGGAGCCCAAGAGCGAGCTGGGGCTGGGTGAGGTTGTGGCCTTACTTCTAGGGGTACCGTCCAATTCCATTCTTTCCCGGGATCCTTCTTTTCAGGAAACCATCAAAAACCCAGGGGAAACAGATCCGGTTTGTGAAAAGAGCGATGGTTGAAAAGAATGGGGAATCAACCCCTGGATTACTTTGGTAGGCGCAGAAAAGCTAACTCAGAAAGGCAAGCATTAGATGTGCGCGCGGGGCTGGAGGTATGCGAATAGCGCGGAGAAATATTGAGCTGTGTGTACGAAGCCGTTGGATGCTGCACGTGTCGACCACCGTAGTTTACAAACGCATCCGACATCTACGGTTAGTCAACAAGATGCACAATGTCTTGATGCTGAGGGAGTCGACAATTTAGTCTACAAACGCTCCCGACATCTACGCTAAGTCAAGGGAGGGCGTTTTCTAGACTAGCAAGCCAGTGATGCAGAGGGTGTCGACCAAAGTAATCTTTTCCCCCTGTTATTAACCCCCCCCAAAAGAAAAGGACGAACACAAATAAATAAAGTAAAATATCATTAATGACAATATTCCCCCCCCTCCCCCCCCGAGACGAATCATGTTTATTACATGGTCCCTTATTTTTCCCCTAGGGAGATCTACAACTGGCCACTGGAGGAGTAGAATTGCAATTCTTACATTTGAGTTGTAAGACTAATTTTGAAAGCGCTGAAAGCACCGCCCCCCCCCACAACAAGTGCTGTCACAAGTTTAGGTGACTGTTTGGGTGTTTGCCACAAAAGAAGCATGTGTAAATAGCGATGGATTTATTAAGAACGGGAGGCGATTAGTCAACAAAGGCCTCCGACATCTACGTCTAGTCTTTGCAAGACATTTTGCTGGACTAAGGCGCCTTTAATGCTGAGGGTGGCGGAAGTTAGAGGTGAGAGTTAGAGGTTAGGGAACTTCCAGGCTAGGGCTAGAGTTAGAGAAGTTAGAGGCTAGGGCAAGCGGGTAAGGAAGGCAGAGGTCAGAGCTAGAGGGTGGAGCAGGTCGAGGTTAGACAAACTCGAGGTTAGGGATGGAGGATTGGGTTAGGTAGAGATTAGAGAGAAGTTCGAGGTTAGTCGGCCAACGTAGTGTAAACAACGTGTCGCACCTTTACGTTGAGTCAACGGTGTGGACAAATTTAGCAAAATGGAATGTTGAGTGGCCTTGATCACGCGCTGACAGTTGAAACAGCATTGCCTCAATCACAATACTCCGCTGAGGCCCTAAGGCCCTAAGGATAAACAGCCTTCCACCCAGCGCCTTCAGAATCGCGGGAGGTACTTCAACGACAAGAAGTTTGGAAGGAGGACACGGGTTTCCCGAAGCACAGAAGCACACATGACGTGAGGCACCAGGCAATGGACTTGCGGCACCTTGGGCCCAGGGGTCAGGGTTGCTTGCTTTGCAAAAAGGTCGCTGTCAAAGTCAAGAGCTTGTTTCGGATGAACATGGTATTGGTTTCCTCATGCTCTTTTGACTGGGTCCAATTGTGCCAATCGCTTTCCCAGTCTCACAACTTGCGGACACCCATGTTCGTGTATTTGACCTTGAGCAAGCAACGACAACAGATAGTTGTCCTTTTGAGTCCAATGGACCGATGGACCAAGTCTGCCTTTAGTGCCCTCAACAGACAGTTAGGTCCGTTTGGGCAAGGGAGATATGGCAATCAACCGTAGTCCATGAGGCTGGGCATACATACATACATACATACGTACATACGTACGTACCTACATACATACATACATACACACACACACACTGACTGACTGGCTGGCTGGCTGGCTGGCTGGCTGCCTGCCTGACTGACTGACTGACTGACTGACTGACTGGCATACACACATACACACATACATACACATACAATCACTTGCTTTTGATCGGTCATCGATTACAGCTCCACTACCTTATTATGAGTCATGTCGCTGGGGCAGTGGAATGGTTTCAGCAAACCTTGCAAGCGGGTTTGACTATTTTGACTTCTATTGGTGGGTGAGACATGCTCGTTAAGCTGACATCTCGCTCCTCTCTCACACAGGGGGTGAGCCAACGCTCACAGAGGAGAGCAGCTCTCAGATGCCACCGACAAGTCTTTCCGCGGAAGGCTGCTCAGACCCGCGCTTCGCAGTCGAGGTGCCTTCAGCCTGCGAAGCCTTCCGAATCCTGTGCACCTCCGTGCGTGGGCACGCTTGAGGCCCAGGCGATGGCAAGCGCGCGTGCTTGTGAAGCCAAACATCATCATCCCCCATCCCTCCGGCCTCCTCCCCATTGATGGCGCGACGACAACACGGGATGCAACTGCCCTCACCTGGAACTCTTGACGAGTCTAGACCCACATAATACATACGCATACAGATACAAACATACACATACATATACGTGCAGACACATACATATACATACATGTACGTACATACACAAACATATACATATGTGTACAACTGCACACATACACATACATATCCACACATATACATACATGTACACATATGCATACGCATACATGCATATACACAGAAACACACACACACATACACACATACACACATACGT